AACCTTTGAGTCCTGGGCATGCTACATGTTCTTGCATCTCATATATAAACCCATTGTAAATCCACCCATTCCTCATATATTAAAGGAGAAAATTATTACGGAGGGAGCAAACAATCATGCAGGATGGGACATGTGCTTGCACAATATTTTGCTGGACTTCCAAGGAGAGTCAGTAATTGTGGATCTTATTGTTGCCCTCAAAGGGGGGACTGGTTTAGCAGTCAAAAACAGCAACACCAAGAACAAGGACTCGAATCACTTTTTCTGAAAGCTGCACAACTAAGCAGGTAACATATGGATTTTCTGAACTGGTTTCCTCTGTCCACAGAATGGACTAGGCAAGCATGAAGTAACATAAGAAAGCCAACATAGGAGTTTCCATCCCCTGGTTCAGGCTTTTGCTGTATACAATCCAAAACCAAACACAACGGGCCTAAAATTTTCAGGCAAAGGTACTGTTTTTAGGGGAAGTGGCGACAGGCTCCGCTGGCCATATCCACTGCTTCCCAACTACAGGTGGAAAGGATCCAACCCTTTTATGACAGCTACTGCAAAGCTTAGAACTTGGTAAACTTCAGGCATTATCCATTAAATCAACAGCTAACTCAAAATGAAAGTCCCTACTGATAAAAGCTAGAACATTAGCAAGAAGACTCAAGAGTAAGCACAGATGTATCTGCCCATAGGCACAGGAGAAAGTACCACATACAGGGCTCAGGAGCAAGAATCTCACTATACTTTAATAAGCACCAAGTTCCCAAATTTGTAAGAGATATTTATGCACCTCAGTCCCCTTGGCAGTGTTGGCTCTAAGGTGTTTTTAAAACCTCATCACAAATTACAGAAGTATCTGTGAATTTCCAGCTCCTTTTCACTTCCAACTACTTCAATTCTGTTCCTGCCTGATCTATAACTGATGTTAAAACATATGGCAGTGTATTTGCTAAAAGTTCCCTCAATCAATTCTAAACCGCTTCAGACTTGAGATCAGGAAGGGGGTGGAGGGGAGAACCTAATAGTGCTTTGTTGTTTTTCTGTTGGGGTTTGGGATCTTTTTTCTTCTTTTTTTTTTCTCCCTACGAAAGCAACTGAAGCAGCCAAAAGTTATTTTGAGTTAGTTTATGAAGTGAAAATTCTATAAATTGTAGTGGAAAGGCAATTTAATCTTAGTTCCAGGTATTGAAATGCTCAATATACCTTAAAAAAAAACCAAAAAAACCAACATACCTTCATAAAGGTTATTATTAAATACTTTGGAGAAAGACTTAGGAAAAATACTGCACATGCATTCAGTAGGAATCCCCAGTGGCTGTCTCATTTACCTCATTACACACATGCACGCACACACACAGAGTGTTAATTGCACTCCAAAAGAAAACTGCAGGCACAGACTGCAAGAAATGATGTGGGTCCTTCCCCTGGTTCCCTCCTCCCGACGGACGCCTACTATTCTTCTAAAAATTCCCCACAGAAAAAGAGGGTGCTAATTGTAGCTATCACAGAGTGTTTTTCCATCGTCACAGAAATTTAATTCCTAAAATTGAGTCGATGCACACGCAGAGACCAAGTAGAGGTAGGAGTGATGATGGATCCACGTAGCAATTCACTCTAGCAGGAAAAAGTTAAATACGCATCAAGAGCATAATCCCATAATTGGCAGATCCACTTCGAAATCTTGAAAAGCTTATTTTCAGCCTCTTAAAGCTAACTGATGCAACACCTTCCTGTGAGAACACCATGTAGCCCAGGCACTTGTCTCCCATACCACAGTTACCACAAAATGCATTAGTTCCCACTTCAGGGCTTATTCTCTCACATTTTTCCAGGAACAGTGTGGGACTTCCTTTAGTTCTTCTATTAGTTCCTCTCAGAACTAATAAGGTGCTTAGCTTAAATCTCAGTACCTGTTAAGACTTGGAAGTTCATTCTGTCTTGGGCCAATCAAAGCTGCACACGATGCTCAGTGTAATGGAAGGGCTGGAACAGAGAACAGGCTCGTGCCTCTGTATCAGTTAATGGCACGACCTCACCCGCAATATCAAAGGCAAGGCCACATCTCAGAAAGGTCAAAGAAAACAGTAAGAACAATCAGGACCTTGAAAAATCTCTCACAGAACTGACTTTAAAAAAAAAAAAAAAAACTTGCAGAACTGTCACATGACAGATGTTAATTTGGAGAAAATCGGACAAAGAATGATAAGCCCAGAGAGAGGACGTCTGCTCCCCTCGACTTCAGACCTCAAAGAAATCAGTGTTAGATGATCGCCACTCATGATACATCTTCCATTTAGGAACTAGCAGTAGGCTCCAAGAGCAAGTCCAGGGAGCAAACAGTAACGTAGTAGTGCCAACAGCAACGGATTTGAGGACAGATTGTGGGACTGCAGTTGCCCTGGCACTACCAACAGAAGAGGCTGTCCGCAAGGAGAGGACAGATCTTCATCCCGCCTCCCAGGCTTGTTCTCCAGCATCAAACACCCTCAGGAACGAAGAGCGAAATGGTTAATGCATTAATTCTTCTAGGAGAGATAAAGTGAACCTGTACTAGTGGGAGCTGCCCCTTTATCCCTATACCCTACACCAGTAGGAACGTGGGGATGCATTTTCTCTAGGTTTGCTTACCATTGGCAAGCAGTCCCTCAAGTGTAAAGGCAAGAACCAGCTCCATGCCTGCACACAGCTGCATCGCAGCCACTTGCAGCACCTCCACAAGAGCAAGCTCTAGGTGAAGCACAGCAGGGGCACCCTGAATTCAGACCCCACAGAGCTGATGCAACTTAAGAGCAAGAAGCATTGCTGCAGTGGAGGCACATGCTCACGCTTGGCCTGCAACTTAAGAGCAAGAAGCATTGCTGCAGCGGAGGCACATGCTCACGCTTGGCCTGATTGTAGTGTCTTTATCCTAAAGAGGTAATTCTCTGCTTTACAATCTCTCCTTAAACACTACTCTAAAATGAAAGGGGAGCAGCATTTGTTCCAAGAGTGGTGGAAGTTTAGTTTGCTTAGAAATAAAATCGCCCCATCCCTGGAAGTGTTCAAGGCCAGGCTGGATGGGGCTCTGAGCAACCTGCTCTAGTGGGAGGTGTCCCTGCCCATGGCAGAGGGGTTGGAACTCTTCAAGGTTCAAGGTTCGTAACAACTCAACAATCTTCAAGGTTCCTTCCAACTCTAACCATTTCATGATTCTATGAAAATAAATTTAAAAAAAAAAAAAAAAAATAAAAAAAAAAAAAAAAAAAAAAAAAAAAAAAAAGAGGGCAGGCTGTGACGAAATCACTCTGCAAATTACAGAGACTGTGGCACAACAAGCATGGGCTTCTAATAGCCTCCAGCAACCAACACACGCATCTTCTGCCTGAAAACTGTATTGTGCAGCTAAGGGAACATCCCTCTGTGGGCATTATTTTTGATGGAGGTACAGAGGCCCTGTTGGATGGGGAACCAGACAAATCCAAGACAGCAGGAATCCCTACCCAGCCAGCTTACAGTTCACACAGGCAAGGTGACAAAAGGAGGGAGAGTCACATGATGCCATCAGGGTTACAAGGAAAACACGTTGAGCCAACTTAACCAGCAGGAAGGAAAGACAACTTCGATTCTAGAAAGGTAAACATAACTCTCAAGTGTTGAAAAACCGAAAAGGCACTTGAGTAGTGCATCAGAGCAGGAAAAAGAAACCCACTAACACAAACTTCAGTAAAAAAAATAAAGAAAGAAATAAAATAAGTTTGTGTAACATTTATTTTTTTTATAATATTACATGGACAGTTACAATTGAAGTAATATTTGCAATCGTAAGTATATTCGTATCAATGAATCACTTAGCCTCAGCTTAAAATCTGTGTTTTCTGTATGTTGGAGTAATTTAACGCTCCAACTTCACAGGGGAAAATCTTCAAACCTATTACATGTTCCTTTATCCAGACATGTTCCAAAGATTATTTTTTGTATCCATAGGTAAAAGGCATAAACTATTGTTGGATTACACAAACTATTGATTCATTTTCAAATCTTAGCTTAATATTGGGTAATAAACTGCCTTTAGAAAGAACCATTCATGTTCTTCCTACTTGCAAACCGGGGGACTTTCTGCTATTAATTATGGACTACTGATACAACACTCATGGGACAAAATATTATTATGGCTAATAATATATTATGATGGTTATACTATATTAATATTATCATGGTTGTCAAAGGAATTAGTGCTGCATTTAGAGATTTTTATGCAACTTTTCTGTGTTTAGATTTTACAAAGATGCTCAACCACAGCTGAGAAATGCTAAAAGTCATTACTAGAATGTACCAATATCAACAGTTCTATACACAGGGATGTTTTTTTCAAGCAAGGGTATATCAGCAAACTCCTTGGTTTCATAAGAGGAACCTACAGATAGCTTTCAAAACTCCTGTGACACTGAACTAGAACTTTGGATTTATAATTAACAAATCTAATAACAGACTTAAAAGAGCCTTGTTTGGACCTTTTTATGTCAGAGCAATTTATTGTGACAGAAGATTATTTTATCAGCTTGGAGATAACAATCTTTCTGTGAAAGGAGATACTTCCAAGGACTCAGTGTTTACAAACAAGCCAGAGTTTTCAAGAGAGAACATCTCATATATACATGCAACAGGAAAAAAAAAAAGGATATACAACTGGCGGGTTGAGGATTTCACTTACTTAAAGCACTTAAAAGAAAATTGAGTTCCTTTGAAAATTCATCTCCAAGTGTAGGTTGCAAAGTCAGCTATTTGAAGATTAAACAACTTTATAAAAAAGGAAATAATATGGTAAAGATTAAACTACAGTTTCTGTTTCACGTGTTTGACTTTGGGTCCTTTCATGCTTTGACTACATAAAATTTGGAATTAACCTGAAAATCGAAAACATTTTACCATATCCAAACTCATGGGAGCAAGAAATGTCCTCTGAAGAAGGCCACATTACATATATATAAATACATATATATGTCTGTTTTAAGACAAAATGTACATACCCTTAAGTCTGGAGAGAAGTTGTCTGCCGAGGTGGAGACCGAGTCTGACGATACAGCTGAAGCAGATTTGGTGTGAGCAGAATGGTCCGACTGAGAAGTGGAAGCGCTATAAAGAGAAACACCACAGTGTATCAAAACCCTGCTCAAGAAGGCTCAAAAGCTGACAAGTATGGCCACTCACTTACTGTCATATCAGGCATTTTTCACTATTTCCACCCTTTCCGTTCTCAATTACTCAGCCCTCAGCAGTGGTTTAAGAGAACCTGTTTTAAGCGAACTCGCCGTTGCCACAGATTGCCAAAGCGCCCACAATTTATTACCAAATCTCAGCTCAGACTGGGGCAACGTTATCACGATCACACACTTGATCAAATCCTGAATCACAGAAACTAAGGGCCTCCATTTCAGGCTTTCAGATGGGAGATATTAGTGCGAGGGGATGAAAACAGACTCCTGAACGAACGCCAGCACAACTCCAACCGCAGCTTTACAACGGTGGAAGAAACTCAGAATAAAAACTCTTTCCATCACACATAACTTCCCTTGTTCAGGTGCGAGTCCAACCCTCAGGAGAATTAAAGAGGCTCTCTCAGCAGACCTCTCTGGTGATACAAAGTGTGATTTGCTAAACAGCAAAGCAAAACAGTTATTTCATTTTTGCTGTACAGTTTTTCTAGCACAGCTGTAAGCAATTAAAATAAGCTTATTTTATAGCATTTTTATGCTGCGACCTTTCCTAGAACTGTAATTGCTTAAAATTAGCATTCGATAATAATGCTCTTAAAACCCTAGATGACTGTAAAGAAAGATCCTCTGTGGTACAACATCACTACCTGAAGCCACAGCACAGCAGCGAACGCTCCCTGCGCCACCTAATTCCCGCACGCCTACAGGCCCCAGAAAGGTTCTACCTGGGTATAGAGGCACTCTTAAGGATCAGCTCTAGGGCTTCCAGTCCTAGCCTCAGCCAAAGCAGAATACCAGCAGGAGTATTAACGTTACCAGCTGTATTAATTAGACATGTGACAACCTAGAAAGAGCTGTATCTGAACTTCCAAAGGGCCTGGAGATCTGTTAATTATCTGAAAATTGTTTTGCTGCTGGTAAACAGCCACCAAAAGGCCAAAATGTTCCATTTTTATTTCTATTCTTCAGAGTTTGGCAAAGTATTACACAGGCAGCATTAAAAACATGAAGGACTGCAGCAAAATTGGGCTCTTGCTGGGAGTCAGTCCTTTCTCCAAGGATTAAGGAGTACTGGCAACTCTTTCATCCCAAGATATAGAAGCTTAGAAATGGAACCTTTGGGAGCCGTAAAAAACTATTTAAAATACATGATACTTATGTCAATTGAATAGCACAATTCCACTGAATGTATATGTACACAGTTCACCAGCTAATCACTCAGCTTTCCAGCTTGCCCAGCCCTTGCAGTGTTGCCAGGTAAACTCATGTCCTTTCAGATGGCCAGTGGCACTTGTGCACACAACGCTGCTCCCACCTCCACAGCCCCAGAGTCTCCATCCCAGGCAGAAAATAATCATACACTAAAATAACAAGAAATGAATCTGCAAAGCCTCCCATTCTTACGGAGCAAAGCACCTCTGTAAGGCTGAATTTGTGTATAGTTTCACATTACAACCAAATTAATTTCCCTCTGCTGCTGAACAGGTTGCTCATGTTCCTCTCTCTTTGTCCTCTCAACCTGGGCTGCCCACCACTGCCATCCCCATTGCTCTGGGTGAGCATCACGTGATCCACCGTTCAATTTGCTGATCTGCCAGGACAGTAAACTATTAATAAACATGAAGAGAGTCTTCTGTTGGCTAATAGGGCTGATTGGATTCATTACATGGCCATATAAATCATCAGATGCAGGGCACGGAAAGAGAAGGAATCTGTATCTGGAGATGATGGGGAAGGCTGAGAGCACTTCTGCGCACAGCAGCCTGCAGGCATGCTAAATTAGGCTTAGCACTAAACCACATTTTTACATTACTTTACTTAAATGAGCTCAGACCCCTGGATGCGTTCCCTTGAAACTCTTTTCAGTCTGGTTTCTGCATGGTCAGCCTTCATCTTTCAAGCGTTCACCCTCCCGTTTGCAACTGTTTAATTAGTTTGATTTTTAAAAGGGGAGGGGGGAGAAAAAAAAAACCAATCACACTTATTTTAATCGTTTCATGAAGCAGCAGCAGTTTACTGTGCAGCAAGCCATAAGGTACTGTAGATGCGTTTGTCACCGGGTGACAACACGGACTCCCACCATCCCGGGGTCCCCACCGTGCCTTCACCCAGGCTGGCTCCAGCCGGGGGAGCCAGAGGCTCAGAGTAAGCCTCCAGAAGCCATGCCTTCTAGCTCCCTCCCCTTTCAGGGCCCAGAATTTTGTGTAGTTAAAGGCATTTTAAAGGTCAGCAACTCTTAGGAGTTTACAAGTCATTTAGCACAGGTGTAAATAACTAAGCAACATCTAACCTGGCCCATGGGCGCCGCACAGGACAGCTTACCCGGCCACCACCACCATCGTTAAATCACTGAGAACTGCAAACTATTAGTAGAAGCATTTGCATCACGAATTTCACATCCTTTACTCAAAAAACAGGGAGCTGAAAAGGCTGGAAAAGTTTAATGGAGTGTGCTAGTCCCTCTGCCCCCAAGTCAGGGCAGGTTACACCCAAACAACTCCTGCGACCTGTCTGTCTAACCTGCTCTCAGCAGCTCCCAGGCAGGGAGAACACTAACAAAAGGATCAAAATTTCACCGTTTTTTCTGCTTACACAACTCGTCTGCCCTCATACATTCCCAGTGTCTACTTAATACATAAGCAGTGATTATCTAATCATTGCAGACCAAAGATTTTTATGAAATTGTTAGTTAATTTCACTTTGGCAGGCTAAGGGGCAAACTGCTTTATGCAGGGGAAAAAAAATAAATAAATAAAAGAGAAGCATCATCCACAGCATGACTGAACTGCGAAGTGTTTTGTGTTTGTTGATCACGCTTGGCTTCAAGTGGGTTTTAATGAAGGAAAGCATTTGCATTTTAGAAGTGGATTTTCAAAAGCTCCTCTCACCAGAGTCCCTCTGCTCCTGAAGAAGCCACCGGTGAAGCCTCCCTCCAAGCGACAGCAGCGCGAGCTTCTGGGAAGCGCCGCCTGCACGTACAGCGAACAAAGCCGCGCGGAGTATGCGGCTCTGCACAGTATCCATAGGTTGCACATGTTTGGCTCGCTGCCTCTGCTCTCCTCATCCATCATTTATAGGGAGCGGAGATGGAACGAAGGAGCAGACAACCGAAACGCCGTTGGCTGGAAGCTCCCTTCTCTTATCGTCGTCAGGCAGTTACGGGGCTCCAGCTCCACTGCTTAGCAAACTAATTAACCTGACGGCCCTGCATGCACATGAGAAGTTTATTAGCTTCAGTGGTTTCGTCAATCTCGAGCTCTGCTGCCAATGCAAAAGGCAAGATCCTCAAACCACGGAGTTTCATACGCCTTTGGGTGGGGAAAGGGGGAGCCCATCCTGGGGCCAACACACAAACTCGGGGTGAGGAGACCAGAGCTCCTGCCATGCTTTGCCACCCGCCCTTCTGCATCATCCCGGGCAAATCATTGACTCTTGCTTCTGTCATGGTTCCTGCACATCACCCTAGCTTTTGCCAAGACAAAGTTAAAGCTGTCTGGCAGTGTGATGGGGTACTTCCTAATGCCAGTCTAAAATCACAGAATCACAGAATCTTCTAGGTTGGAAGGGACCTTAAAGATCATCTTGTCCAACCGTCAACCTAACTGACAAAAATAGACACCCACACAACAAACAAGGAGCATCATCACTAAACCATACCTCCCAGCACTACATCAACCCGTCTTTTGAACACCTCCAGGGATGGTGCCTCAAATGTTGAGGACCCCACCTATATTCTAGGATCTTATATTCTCACCTGTGTTCCACCAGTAAGACAACCAGAGCAAACCTAAGTGATGGCAAAGGCACGACAGTCAGACCTAACTGCTGGCTTCAGGAGCACCTGACAAACATCTGAGAACACAGGTAGCTTTCTCCAGATTTCAGCAAGGATTAAAAATCACTGGAGCTGTGCAGTCACTGCTGGGTGAAGGTCTGGTTCAATACAACTTAATAAACATGCAAAAATAATGATATTGTCTCTTTCTACAGGAAAGAAAGTGAGGTGTTCCTGTGAGGAACCTGTGAAGACCAAGGACCTCCTGGAGCATTTCTCTTCCCATGCTTCAGGCTCCCAGACAGCTCCACATTGTCCTTGCTGATGGATGTCTCTGTCAAGTGACAAAAGAGACTCCTACAACAGTTCAAGAGCACCTCCAGGGAAAGCACCTTACTCCAGTTACTGCCATCCCTGTTTCTCCTCTCCTTCCTCCCTCCCCAAACAGAAGCAGAAAACAGGTTTAGGATGCAATTAACACTGATATATGTCTTTCATCTCAGTAATTATTTTTATTATTTAAATGTATTTCTTATAGGCAGACTTTGAATGATAAATGAGTCCAAATGAGAGCTGTCGGCAAAATGGTCTTGGACCGTATCTGCACGCAGTATTAACCCCTTGGCTATATGGAATACATACACGTAATTAATAAGAGAATTACAATGGAAACCAAGCACAATGACTCAATCCCTGACAGAGTGCTCGTTGTTATTATTAGGACTACCCCACAACACGCCATGGTTTTCAAACATAATTCAGACTCAGACAGACGCCCTCCGGTGATTCTTGTTCAGGCAATTGAAAGGTACTAGTGCATCCGTGGCAGAACTGAAGGTACGCCAGCCTGCTCCGCTTTAACTGTCAACACAGGAGCAAAGAAGCTGCAAACAGAAGTGTCTGAGACACGCAAACTTTAACTGTTAAACTAGGAAGGTGCAGGGGAAATGCTTTGGGGGAAAGCAGTGATAAAGTCTTAAGCCACTTCAAAAAAGCATCATTAAATGGCATTTGCCAAAGCCATCCAAGGCAATCGCGCCCCTCAGCCCCCTGCAATGTAAAAAACATGGTGCCTAAGAAAGGCAGGGAAAAGGAGTAAAAACTGGTGTTTGCCCTTTGTTTTGCCAACTGT